GTTTAGGGTTTAGGGTTTGGGTCTGTAGTTTGGTGATTGTCTTAGTTCTCCAATACCCAACCTCTAGACTTTTCGGGGTCGTATAACTTAGTAGTAATCTGAAAATTCAACCTTTTACATCCCTGGCTCTTTGGGAAGAAAGTTGTTTAGGCTTTCTTGGTTTTTGTTGAGGGTTTGGGGTGTATGGGCTGGGCTAATCGAGTTCTAAGGTTTCAAGCAGTTTTGGCTGCCGGGTCTTGATTGCCACTGTGCAGGTCGGAATAAACCGCCGGTACGTAGTAGGATTGCCCTAAGGTGCCATTATGGCTATGTACTTCATATGCTCCCAAGCCCCTATGCTAATTCTTCAGGCCCCTATATATATATATATATATATATGTATATATATATATATATGTACGGGTGGTTATAACCGAGTCAGATGGCATAGCGAAAAATGCAGGGGACCCCAAATAGGGGTGCATATATATATATATATATGTGTTGCGTAGCCTCCTTCTCAACCCGGCTGCCTTAAGCCTGTGAACTGCCTGTGCCCAAACCCCTGGACCCTAAACCCCAAAGGGTTCCTTCTTATGGCTTCTACACATGGGGGTTTCCGAAAATAGGGGACCCTAATACAGTTCCCTAAATAGTAGGATCCTTATTATAAGGACCCCAAAATAAGGACCCTTTAATTTCGGAAGCTCCCACATAACTCCTTAAAGCGGGAGGGTTTTGGACCATGCCATGGGTAGGGCTTGCGTGTCGGATCCTCTAGGAACGATCTTCAGATCCTCCCACTTTTTATCGCTTCCCTAGGCAAAAACGCTGCCCCATAGGTTGAGTTAGTCTGAAACTTAGCTATGGGATGATCACACGATTTAGTTCATAATGCAGAACTAGGCAAACTTCGGAGCATTAAACCACAAAGGTTTAGGGTTTAGGGTTTTAGGCCTGGATAGCGCTTCCAAAGCAACTGGAAACAGCCCACCAGCCGTAAACCAGATAGACCCGGAGCTTTTCGTAAAGGATACACACCGCATTCGCCCCAGACCCGGTAACAAAGCGAGGACTCTGTCCTGGCACTGGGCCAGGTGACCCCCCCATTTCTCGAGGCTTTCCTTTCTCTATTGCTGATCTCGTGCCCCTTGGCAAAGGCTATGTTCGGAGGAGATCTACTATAGAGGCTCGAGCTATTGCTCTATGGGTCTACCTATAGTCTCCATTGTAGTTCCTTTTTGGGGTTACCTTATAGGATCCTAATTGTATAATTGGTTAAACCAAAAAAGGGAACTGCAATGGAGACTATAGGTAGGATTCTTTTCAGTGGCATGAGCTCTTTTGTTTTGGGGTTGGGGGTTTGGAGTTGTTGGTTTAGTGGCTTGGGGAGGTGGCCAAAGCTCTACTTAAACGTTCATGGGACTTAGTAACTAGGGTTATTAAATAAGGTAGCTATACTTATAATTACTTATAACCCCAATTAAGGTACTTATAACTGTACGTATTAACTCCCATGAGCCTCCAAGTACGGCGAACCTCCAGAAAGTTGGAAGATGAAGGACTGTTTGGTGCTTAGTAGGGAATGGGGGAATGGGTTTTAGGGACTACTATAAGGGACCTTAAAGGACTATCATAGGGATCCATTCCCCCATTCCCTACAAAGCACCAGACAGAAGAAGGAGCTGCAAGGCATAGCCTTGACGTTACCCTGAGGGCATGCGGATAGTGAGATTCTAACCTTCTTGCTTCCCCAAAGGGTCCAAGTAGCATTATAGTAGGTACTTAATCAGTATTTGGAACACCGAATTATATACTATACTATTACTTGGACCCTTCGGGTTCTGTTTTGAATACCCAACTTCCAGCGGACAAACTCGGCGCAGCAAAACAGACGCGAGGTTCACGCAGCCGCGACGACCCCAAAGTCCTTACACTCCCTAAACCTGGTCAACCAAAGCTTATGCATACGACTCTCACAAAGCCACATACATAAACCGCTGGAGATCCGCACGTAAGCCAGAACCTTGGGGTTTTTGCTTCGGGCTTGGGGCTTAGACCCTACTTGGACCCCAAAAGTATGTAGAATGATAGCTTGTCATAGGTGTTGGGCCATTGTTTTATTTATTATTGGGGGGGTTAGGTAAACCCTAAACCCTAAACCCTAAACTGAAATTCAACTCCCTACAGCCTAAACCCTAAACCCCCCTACCGACTTTTGGGTGGTTTAGGTAAACCCTAGCAACTGAGGCACATCCCTCAGGATCTTCCGGAGGGCCAGTATCTGCTGTCGTGGCGATGGGCGCCTCGCCACGGTCTGGGATTTAGGCTTTAGGGTTTCATAGGGTTTAGGGCTTTTGAGGGCTTTAGGGTTTTGGGGTTTGGGGTTTGGGGTTTAGGGCTTTAGGGGTTTAGGGTGTTTAGGGTTTAGGGTTTGGGGGTTTAGGGTTTTGGGGTTTATAGGGTGTAGGGTGTAGGTTGTTCAGGGTTTAGGAGTTTTCGGGTTGAGGGCTGTATAGGGCTTCGGATTTAGAGTTAACAGCTCCTCTTCTGGTCGACAGGGTCGCGACACACCGGTGAACATGCCTGTATGAACGAGTGCTTATCCCCCAGCCACCCACTGTGAACCCTGAAGGACACGAAAGAAACATGCTACCTAGACAGGCACCCACATTATTAAGGCCCCATATAAGCCCCAAGCCTCCTTGAAGCCCCGCCGTGTGGGCGGTCGAACTGCTTTAGGATTGCGAGCAATCTTCGCAAGTTTGGCAGAACTGCGCCGACATCAGGAGACTGGGTTTTGGGTTGAGGGAGAGGGTCCTATCCGCATTCCAACCCTCCGATATCGAATCTAGGAATCATAAGCGTGGCGCATCCTGAACCGGGCGTGTAGGGTTTGACTTGACCTTGGGCTGTTCTAGACTTGTATGGCTGTAGGGTTCCTTTGTTGTGATCTAAGCATCTAAGAGCTGGGAGTTTCTGTAATTTCCTGTATGCCTAACCTTCTAAAAAACCTATTTCGACAACTTGCTTGTGTCACAGTTCTCTCGTGGAGGCCACGGCTTGGCCGAGGGTCCCACTGCAATTCCTTTAATTGTTCCATGAATTTGTTTGGGGTCCGTAATGAACAGCCAGCAGAGAACAAGGGGTACCCTTGTCCAGAAGGCCTCGCTAGGAAACACATAAAATTTTAGGACTTCAAACCTTGAAGCCTACATCTTAAACCCCCACACGGTGCATCCGGGGCTCTGGAACCAGGATTGTGAATGCCGTGAATGGCACAACTCCAACAGCCAACTTGCAAGAAGAGCGGGAGTCGTCGACTGCCACGGTCTCCGCTCGCGTGCCCCTGTTCCTGATGCCCTGCCTCCTTTGCATGGGTGCCTTTAAGGCCTTCCTTGAGATCTGGTAGGAGCGGCATGAGCTGTGACAGTTCATGGATGTCTCCGGATGTCGTTTCTGCAGTACGTAGCCATCTTATGCCCTAAACTCCCTAAACCCTAAAACCTTAGACCCTACGCCCTAAACCCTAAACACCCTAAACCTTAAACCCTACGCCCTAAACCCTAAACACCCTAAACCTTAATCCCTAAACCCTAAACCTTAAACCCTAAATCTAAACTCCCTAAACCCTAAACCCTAGACACCCTAAACCCTAAACCTTAAACCCTAAATCTAAACTCCCTAAACCCTAAACACCCTAAACCTTAAACCCTAAACCCTAAACCTTAAACCCTAAAGTCATTCACATCGACATGGCAAACATCAAAATCAGACCGGAAGTCCAAGGTAAAGGCTTTCTTTTTGGTGCACGCCTTTAAGAGGAGGAGACGTGAGTCAAGGACTGAATGTACGTCTGTGTGCATGCATGTACCTGATTGAATATTTTAATTCTTGAGCTGAATGAAGGCAATTGTGCTTCGTTACCGCTTTAGTTGGCTAGTCAGTTAGTCGTTAGTAAGTCGGCTAGCCAGCCAGCCAGGCGGCCAGCCAGGCAGACAGCAAGTCAGACAGCAAGTCAGTCAGTCGGTCAGTCGTCGATTTGTTTGTCTGCCTGTCTGTCCGTCTGTGGCGTACAGCCCCGACTGAAAACACTGAAGCGCGGACTGACACAGAATGGTCGCCTGATCCTCATCCAGGTACTGTATCTGTCGAAAGCAGTTAGCCACTTTACATCCTCGTGATTCGGAGAATCTAAGACGTGATGTTCTCCTCCTCACTGGTGCATCTCGTTTCCGAATTACAGGGGAATTGATTACTTTTGCTTCCCCTGATACACATGGGTAGTTCTCTACAGTAGGGTTCCTTGTTAGTCCCTAAATACATTACTGGGGCCCTTATAAAAAGGACCCTAAAGGGGGACCCTAATTTAGAGAGCTACCCGCATGATCTCCCAGGCGTAGGCTCACAGGGACCGCTGGGGATGGAGACGAAGGACTCTGGAGGCTTTTGCCGGGTATTGGCCTTCGGCTCGCTCTCCGCGCCCGCCTCTGTAGCCAACTCTGAGCCCATGGCCCATCTAGGGTTTAGGGTTTAGGGTTTTAGGGTTCACAGTCATGTTATAAATTTAGAAAAGCAGCCAGAAATTAGGGCCTGCCGGGCATTTTTGTCCTCTTTGCTAATCGAATTCGATGATGGCGGGCCGGTGTTCACGACAGTACACGACCCTCCGGACTTTTGTTTCTTTTGAGTTTAGGCATGGCTCATACCAGAGCCATCCACGGCAAAGTGGCCCCAAAGACCACGCCTGCACCCTGATAAGCGTCCGTAGAAGTAGGTCGAATTAACTTTGCAGTTAAACTCCGAACTGCAAACCGGAACTCTCACGGAACATGTGACAGTGCCAACAGTTCTTGCAGAAAGCCTCAAGCCTACTTGTTGTCTGTTGCCCACGGGCGGGTGTGTCCGAAAATAGGGGTTTTTGTATATGGTACCCTAAATAGTAGGATCCTTGTTATAAGGACGGTACCCCTTATTTTCGGAAACTCCCACATGATACACCCTTTGCCCAGGGCCCTAAACCCTAAACCCGGATTGTTAATATAAGGATAAGGGACCCCTAAACCCTAAACCCCAAACCCCTAAACCCTTAACCCTAAACCCTACCCCTTAATTGATCTTCGGACTAGGGCTTAGGGGTTTAGGGTTTAGGGTCTAGGGTTTAGACATTAGAGGTTTAGGGGTTTAGGGGTTTAGGGTTTAGGGGTTCAGTGTTTAGGGTATTCAATACACAAATCCTTATAAACTTTCAGACAGATTCAATTAGGGGCCTTTTGTAATTACCAAGGCTATTTTGGCGGCGCCTTCCTTATTATAGCTATAGTCTAACATACCCAAAACCCTGTTCTAATTATTAAGGAAGGGGTCCCTACATTATGTCGGAACTTCAGAACCCTAAACCCTAAACCCTAAAGTGGGCTCGTCTTTGGGGCTTGAGCCTCGGGCTCATGCCATCCGCATAGGCGGCTCCGAGCTTCTGCTTGGTGCCAGACTGCTGCATTGCATTCATGCACATGCTCTCGTTTAGGGCTTTTAGGGCTTTTTGGGCTTTTAGGGTCTTAGGGTTTAGGGGTTTAGGGTTTAGGGTTTGAGGGTTTACGGCTTTTAGCGTTTTAGGGTTTCGGGCTTTTAGGGTTTAGGGTTTTAGGGTTTAGGCCTTTTAGGGTCTTAGGGATTTAGGGTTTAGGGTTTTAGGGTTTTAGGGTTTAGGGTTTCAGGGTTTAGGGTTTAGGGGCCAGCCGATACAGGCCCCAGATGAGTAGTAAGTAGTAGCCTGTAACGCTACCCTTTCCGATGCACAGCGACCCGAGCTGTGTTCTATCGAAAGTTACAGTCATAAGGTCCTCCCTGAACCCTAAACCTTAAACCGCAAAAAGAAAGGCCTCAACCTTTACCGTTCCAGATTTCATGTTCTGCAAAATAAAAACCCAACTGATGTCTCATCAGAGCAAAAGATTACACCTAAAACCCCGACTCCGCAGATCCTGAATCCTTCAAGCCCTAAGGCCGTAATCTAAGCCCTATTGGGTTTAGGGTGTTAGGGTTTAGGGTTTACGGTGGGTTTTAGGGTTTAGGGTTTACGGTGGGTTTTAGGGTTTAGGATTTTAGGGTTCAGGGTTTTGGGGTTTCGGGGTATAGCCCAAAGCCCTGTCGTCCGACCACACAGGAGAGAGCCTGCATGAGTCATGTTTATTTCCTTCGTTTCTCAGCGTCAACGGAAAGACCGAGAGTTTTACAAACACCCTTTGAGTTTAGAGCTTGTGGTTTCAGGTTGTGCGCTTTAGGGCCCTGCGGTTGAGGAATTTGGGTTTCGGTTTGAGGTTTGGAGTTTGGTGGTCTCGGGTTTGGGGTTGTAGGGTTTAGGGTGGGTGAATCTCGAAGCATGAATACTTGTCGAGACTGCTTTTTGTGGGGTTCCTATTGTAAACGCAATACAGAATTCTTCAACAATCCTATTCTAACTGTTGGAAGCCCTTGTATTATAGTTAAGGATTTAGGTCATTCATCAGCCTGACTTCACCGCCGCGGAAACCGTAAACCCTAAACCTGAATCACGCTCGATGGTCCATGGGTGATTGAAAGTAGAAATCTGGCGAGTTCAAAAACTAGCGATAAGGATCCGTTGCAAAAGGTTTGCATTTGGGGTTCCCTGTTCTCTAAAGCTGCCACCACATAATTAGACAACCACGGTATTAAGTAAAGTACTTGCGGCATGCTTTTCGTTTTTTGTTCGTCACTGATCTACTTCTGAACCAGGATGTCCTAACTCAACTGAGCTACTTCTCACCCCGCCTGTGTGGACCAAAACCTAGAAGTAGTTGCAGACTCTCCAAAGAGTGTTAGCCGTGAGCCCGGTAGTTCCAATCTGGCTGTTGCATGCTTTGAGCGTCGTGAAGAAGTCAACTTCCATGCTGATTTTGGAGCGCCTTTGTTTTGCTGACTTACATGCTCGTGCATCCTTTCAAAAGCGCCTTGAGTTGCAGCCCTTAACCCTAAACCCTAAACCCGAAGCAAGACTGTTTGACTGCACACGTGGTACACAACCTGAAGCTTTCTCAAGGCAGACGGATGGATAGCTCATGTGGGAGTTTCGAAAATCAGGGCTCCCGTATGTTTGGGTCCTTATACTAAGGATCCTACTATTTGGGGGGGTGCTATACTAGGGTCCCCTATTTTCGGAAACCCCACGTGTAGCCCCATAGCAAAACCGATAGAACAACTCTCGCGCTGCTCGAATATCTGAGTCCCAAAACCCAGGAGCGAGACTCCAAACCCTCAGCCCAAGCCCCACACAGACTCAAGATCCCACACACGCGGAAGAGCTCGGCCCACGTTGCAGCCGAGCCATTTGGGTCCTCGGTTCTGGCACTTGGGCCCTCAGAGCATTGTCAACATGGACATGGAGAGTGGCCTCTCGGAGCTGCGGATTCAGCGCCTAAACCCTAAACCTAAACCCTACCCCATTCAGGGGGTTTGGGGTTTAGGGTTAGGACGTTTTAGGTTTTAGTGCCCCGGCCCTTGTTGACGCATTAAATGCCCCAGAGGCTGTGATACATACTACTGCATCGAATTTCTAGCGCTGCTGCTTGGGGATTTAAACTGGCATAAGGGGATGATTTCGACCCTAAACCCTAAACCGTGGTTTTCTGTCAAGGTGGTGGCCTGGCCTTCTGTGTAAGAATGAGAAGCTGTTTTCAATAGATCAGATGCCGCACCCTAAAGCCTAAGCCGCAAATATGATCAGAAGCTCTCCGCACTTTTGCAGCCTCCTCTCCCGAAGCTTTCCCCAAGCTCTCCCAAAACTAAGCTCTGCCCCGACATTTTTTCTCAGGGATACAGGCATTGCCTTGACTTGACTCGCCTAAACTCTGGGATTCATGATTCATTCCGGACAGTGCTGAACCAGGTCCATCAAGCGCATGACCGATCCTGCCAGCTAGGGTAGCACTTTGTAAACCCTAAACTAAACCCCATAATTACCCTATGTATCCTAAACCTTCAACTCTACACCCTGAAGCCTAAGCTTTATAACCCGAATCGCCTAAAGCCCTGTCGCCTAAACTAAGAGGGTATACAAATCAAAATTAAGGCTCCACAGCCTCAAACCCTGCCGGCTTTTCAGTGGTGCCGAGGCGCTTTTCGCGCTGAGTCGGACACCTCCGGTTTAAATAGGCTCCACAGGGTTTTGAGCTCAGGGTTCAGGTGTTGCGATGCTTGTTATAGGCGCCATAGGGCTTGATTGTTGTGTTTTTGGGGGTTCAAGTATTTGCAGCTTTGACTTCTTATGGTGAATGTCTTAAGGGGTTCAGAGTCGTGGGTTCAGGGCTTTGCAGGGCTTGAGTTTGCAGGGCTCAGGTTTGGAGTGTAGGGCAGTGTAGGGGGGGTATAGTAACAGATTGAGGGTTATTGCAA